AGTAAAATCTTCATAGTTTCTAAGATAGGAACACTTATTTCTCTTGTATTAAGGGGCAATCATATAAAATTGAACTTTACTGTCTTTGATGACTTCTGTCAGAATTACTTGGGCAGCACTAGCACCACCCCTGTAGTAAGGCCCATATTATCCAGGCAGTGCCTTCTTCACAGCTAAGTCCTCATCCCCAGCCAGGTCCCTGTCCCCTGACAGGCTTTTTTTTTTTTTTTTTTTTTTTTTTTTTTTGAGAGAGAGAGAGAGAGAGAGAGAGAGAGAGAATTTTAATATTTATTTTTCAGTTCTCGGCAGACACAACATCTTTGTTGGTATGTGGTGCTGAGGATCGAACCCGGGTCGCACGCATGCCAGGCGAGTGCGCTACTGCTTGAGCCACATCCCCAGCCCAGGCAGGCTTTTCTTATACACACCTTTACCCCCTTCCCTTGCCAGGCCACATTTCTCAGCCAGTACCTACTCCTGTAGCAACCCTACATGAACACCCTACCCAGCCTGGTATCCCTCCTGGCCTATGACTCCTGAGAACAGGTAGGACCCTCTTTGGCAACTATGACCTCAATCATGCAGGAACTCTACCAAGCCATGGCTCTACTCTGGTGAGGTCCCCTTCACCCACATATCCCTGTCTCCAGGTGGGGTCCTTGGCCCCACATAATTCTCCTTTCTTAGCCTGTGTTCCCTTGCCCAGTCAGGTATCCCACCCATATCCTGTACCTCCCTCCTCAGCTATGCCCCTTCCTAAACCATGTGGGCCCTCCCTCAGTCAAGGATCTTTAGAGCCTGGCTGATCCCTTCCCTAGCAGGCCCTTCCTACCAGTTAGGCCCTCTATCCCAGCCTGCTCTATTAACCCATCTCCAGTCTTTTGTTGCTCTCAGCATTCAAACCTCTCCCACACCAGCTTCCCTTTCCTAGCCTAGCCTCTTTCTCCAGTTAGGCAAAATTTCCCTGCCAGGATCTTCTCACCACTCCCAAGGTCAGCTCCACCCCCTGTCTCTGCCAGTCTCCCTTCCTCAGATTGCTCTACCCTCTCAAGCCTCTGCTCCCTTTAAACACTTTGTACAGCCCTATCCCCAGGCTCCTTCCCTTGTCACCAGGGTCCTCACCAGCGTACGGCCTTTTCTCCAAATTCTGCTTGTTTTCCAGCTAGATCTCCTTTCCTACTCAGTATCCTTCCCTGGCCTGGGTTCTTTTTGAAAGCCTATGGTTCCTTCCTCAGCCAGGCACCCTTCAACCAGGCTTTGCCCCTGTAACTGTTAGGGACACTTTTCTCTGACTTCTTACTCTACTAGGTTTCCTTCCCTTGACCAGCTAATTTCTTCCTCTTTGAACATCTCCTTACCTGCACCCTATTTTATTTATTTATTGAGCTACACCCCTATCCCTTATTTTTAATTTTTTTTTGTGGTGCTGGAAATCAAACCCAGGGCCTTGTGCATGCAAGGCAAGCACTCTACAAATTGAGCTATATCCCCAGCCCTATTTTTTTTTTTAATTTTGATACACAGTCTTGCTAAGTTGCTATGGTTGTCCTCAAACTTGCCATTCTTCTGCCTCAGCCTCCTGAGTCACTGAGATTAACACCATCTTCCCACTTAGGCCTCCTCCTTTACCCTGTGTCCCTGTCCATAGCCTGTCCACTTCCTCTGACTCCCTACCCAGCTAGGTTCCCTTCCTGAGCCTATTCCTTCTGTTCCAGTTTCTTGCCTTGCCACTCCTCTGCTTGGCCCCTCTACCCATCTGGGTCTACATCTCCTAACATCCCCCTACCCTAGTTAGGCTCCCTTCTCCTTCCATGACTTTCTACACCATAGGGCCTTCTCCAGCCTATGTCCCTTGAATGCCTACACCCCTTTCCCCATCCAGACCTAATTCTCCTGCAAGGACCTCCTCTGCTGCCTATGCCTCCCTGCCTGGGCCAGCTTCCTCTTCTCTGCCAGGATCTCTTCCCAAATCATGTCCCATCCCAGATTATTCATTCCAACCTTTCAAGTCTGGTGTTTCCTCTACCAGCCAGGCTCCCTCCTCTGTCCTCCTCCAGACTGACCCTGTTCCCCAGATAATGCCTCTTCCCTAGGAAGATCCATTCTCTTACCATATCCCTTTCTCAGCAGGTGACCTTTCTGTGCTTGCAGCTTGCCCCAAGCATTTCCCCATTCAGTTGCCACAGACCCTTTCATGATCTGCTGTACCCTTCCAACCTGGCCTCTTGCCCCAAAGAAATGCCAACTCACCAGCCTATTTCTCTTTCCATGGTTAGGATCTTTCCCCCTGTCCAGCTCACTTTTCTGCCCAACTAGACCCCTTCCCCAGCAAGGTTCCCCTCTTCTGTCTATGTCTCCTTTCTGAGCTAGCTTTCCCTTCCCAGCCAGGCACTTTTTCCAAGCCCACCCAATCCTAGCCCTGACAAGACTCTACCCAGAATGCAGCCCAGTATCCAGCCAGCTTCCTTTTCCTCTGTAAAACTCCTTTCCCCCTTCCCTCTATAAAACTCACCCCAGCTGGGTCACCTGCCCCTACCAGAAGACCTTCACCAGCCTGTGTCCCTATCCATAACCTGGACCTCTTCCCTTGCCAGGCATCTTCCCTCAGTCAGGCCTTTGCTGTAAGCGTGTGCTCCCAACACCACCAAGCTCTACCTCCTTGTCCATCAAAATCCTCAACAAGACTGAACGCCTCCCCTCCTTTCGTCCCAGATCCCATGCAGGTCTTCTTTAGCCAGGGCCTCCTCATCACTTATGCTTTATTCCTTAGCCTGTGCCCCGAGCTACACCCACATCCCCAGTTTTTTTTTTCTGCAATGCCCTATTCAATCTCTTAGGCTGCCCCTATCTCCAACTTGTACTCACCTTCCTAACCTGTTCTCTTCTCCTGCCTGTGTCCCTTCTGAAGCTTGTCCCCCTTCCTCCCTGGCCCATAATCCACTCATCAGTGTTCCCATCCCTATAAATGGCTCTCTTCTCACAATGTATCTCAATACCAAGTTTTTTTGGGGATCTCTTCAGAGAGCTGACTAGCTGAAACTCTTCTGTTACTCTCATTTACACAGTGAGGTCTATCTGGCAGGATTTTCATATTTGTATTTTGGGAACACCCAAAAGATACCATAGCATTTTTAACCTTTATTTTATTTATCCATTATTATGTGGTACCGAGGATGGAACCCAGGGCCTCCCTGTTCTACCGCTGAGCCACAACCTCAGCCCCACCATAGCATTTTTTCCCTGCTGAAATATATCCCTAGAATGACTAGGTTTTGGAAGTGGGGGTTCTTATTCAAACACAGCAATGAGAACATCCTTAACTGAAACAGTTTAATTGTTTACTGAGTGAAACATCAACTCAGGACAGCCTTCCTTCCAGTCCATCATCACTATTGCAGGTACATTTCTCCTCCCAAAAGCCTCACCTGGTTTCCCTCTGCATCTGCTCCTTATTCCCCAGGTTACCATTACTTAAGTATGGATAAAACCCATGTGAACTAAGTTAGCCACACAAAAATAGAGTACCAGGTATTTTTAAAATTTAATTTATTTTTTAAACAAGTTGCCTAAATTAAAAAAAATTAACCTGTAATATTCCAGAACATTTAAAATGCACAGATAATTTAAGATTTCAACAACACCACTGAAATGCAGGTTCTGAAGATTAAATTCAAATTTACTGCAAATGATTTCACTTTTACTATTTTCTTGCAAATTCACAGCATCAACAAATCTCAATCAATAAACCTACATCATTTAACTTTTTTTTCCCTCATGGAAATTGTTGATATAACTAGATCAATTACTTTATACTTAAGATATTTTTAAAAATACTTTGTTTTAAAAAATATGAGAAGGCACTAAGTTCATTCTTTCACACTTCATACCAGTTCACATAACAGGTTGGATCTACCTGAATAAGATCGTAGCATTTAATATCTCTAAGAACAAAGAAAATTTACTGGAAGTTAAATTACCTGCTGGTTCATCTCTTTTTACTTCACACTGGTTGAAGAGATAATGAAATGGTTTAAACTACCTGAATAAAATCCAGGTAAATGGATGGAGTTGGAGAATATAATGCTAAGTGAAGATAGCCAATCCCAAAAAACCAAATGTCGAATGTTTTCTCTGTTTTAAGGATGCTGATTCGTAATGGGTTTGGGGGGTCATGGGATGAACTCTAGATGAACTCTAGATATAGCAAAGGGGAGAGAGGGGGCAAGGGGGTAAAAAAAAGATGGTGGAATGAGATGGACTTCACTACCATAAGTTCATGTATGAAGATGACACGAATGGTGTGAATATACTTTGTATACAAGCAGAGACAAAAATTTTGCTCTATAAGTGTAATATAAATTGTAATGCATTCTGCTGTCCTGTATAACAAATTAAAATTAAAAAAATAAAATACAAAAGGAAATTAAGATTAGATTTTTCACATCTTATAATGAGCCACAGTCTATTAAATCTATCTAAATTAACTTTTTATATTTAACACATTTACATTTTAACAAATGCTATTATTTAGAATTTAGAAAACATTTCAGTAATAAAATTTTTCAGTCCCACAATTTTCAATGAAAAAAATTACTATTGGAACTCTAGTTCATAACCTGAGACATTGTGTCATAGCCCAACATAAACAAAACAAAACCTCAACCCAACAAGAACAGTTGGTGACCATTCCCCCCCCCAAAAACAGCAAAAGGTATTCACAAAGGAATGTGATCACATAAACTCCTTTATCTAAGTAACCCAGCAGACACATGGGAAAATCTGAAGATGAGGAACACTCTACTGAACTTATTTATCCCGAGTTAAGAACATGTCAAAACACAAGTTCATACACACATACACACATACACACACGCACACACACACACACACACACGTTGTAGTTGGACACAATGCCTTTTATTTATTTTTTAAAATAATTAAAAAATATTTAGTTGTAGGTAGTCACAGCACCTTTATTTATTTTTATGTTATGCTGAGGATCGAACCCAGCGCCTCACACATGCTAGGTGAGCACTCTACCACCAAGCTATAACCACAGCCCCAACAAGTTCCCATTTTTATCCAAAACTCTTTGAAACACTACCAACTCTCAGTAGGAGAGAGAACTAAAGATCTACATGGGCAAAAAGAGTTCAGAGCTTATCAAACTCCTGTCTCTCGTGTAGTAAAATCAGACATTCCCTCATCAGTCTCCCATCTCCCACTGCTTGAAGGAATCAATGAAGGAACCACAGGGAGGATAGAAGGCCAAGGGGTAAGCGGCAGTGGGAGGAACCTATTAAGTAAAACGAGGAGTGAAAAAAGAAAAAGAACCAAATGGAAAAAAAAAATGAGCCTACTGAGCAGATGAGGCAGCGGCTTCAGCTCTAGCGACTGCGCGGCAGCAATGGCATCCAGAGGGTTCTGTAGCATGTGAAAAGGCCTAGAAGAGTCGAGGAGCTGCACCACCGACAGCGCCAGCCTCGAGTGGCTTCACCGAATTGTAGTGCTCTCCAAGGTTGCAGGCATAGTGTAGATAGACCAAGATGAGTGGTTTCTTCTTGTACTCCTCCCCAATGACGATGATGGGTGAATCGGCCTGGATCACTTCGATGGGCATCTGCAGGATGTGAGACAGGGCTCTCAGCTCCAGCTGGCCTCCCCATGATGCACTGCGTTTGATGTTTTCGCAGTAGCTCATGAAGTCGTCGAGGGTGTAGGTGCCACCCGTCTCTGGGTCGCTGAAGAAGGGCAAGAAGTCGTCGACATGTTTCTGCATATACTCAGCAGTGCGGCAGCGCAGGCTCTCCACCGTCATAGAAAACACCAGCTGATCTTGGATGGCACGGTACATACAGTGGCCATCAGCAGGTATATCCTTCATCTCCAGATTCTTGGATTCAAGAATGGCAGCGACCTTCTTCTCCTCCTCACGACGGAAGCTGGCCATATGCTCCATCTCTGCTTTAGCGATTCTTTCCAGGCTATCTCTCTCCAAGGCTGCCCTTCTTTCCCGTCTTCTCTGTGCTCTGGAAACTCTGGGAGGTTGGTTCTCGAGATCCATCTTGGCCAGATCTTCAGTGATTGAATCAAGATCACTGTTGTCTGGGAAGTTCTCCTGGAACCTCTCCAACTCCTGCTGGTGCCTCTGCTCCATCTCGGCCTCAAGGCGGGCCACGTCCAGGAGCAACTGCTTTCTTTTCTTCTTGTCGCTCTTGGGGACGGAGTTTTTCATGCTCTGGATGCGAGCCTGTAGCTCTTTCTTCTCCCGGTGGTGGCGGCGTATCATCCGCTGGTGTTCACTCGGTAAGTCATCCATAGTGTCCTATGAATGGTAACCGTGTGAACTTGATGGTAGTCACAACCCCCTCAGCCTTCAGAGAGCCTTGGCGTTGTGAGCCCGAACAGCTATTTGTGCTTACTTTTATTCACAATCCTCTCTGCTATTGGCCAGTCTCTCTAGGGCTACGCCCCTGAACACATCTCACACTGTGGTTGGCTGTTGGGGAACCCCTACATACATCTTCAGTAGAACCCGTGGCAACTCCTGCTTCCGGTTTTAACGGAATTCAAAGGTCGTTGGTAAGAAACCGCCTTTACGCAATACGGGCCGCAATTGGGCTTGAAGAGCTTTTCTGAGACTTCTACTGCTTATTTGGCTCCCAAGTTTGGACACAACACAGGCACAGGCCATGCTTGAATAACACATTATAAATTCTATGTCATTAGCTGAATGTATTCTGACCCTGGACTTGGCCTTGTCTCAGCCACATTGACCATTTAACCCTTAATCTTTGTGTATCAGAACAAAGACATTTCCTTACATTCCTTGGGACAATCGCTCCAATTTAAGGCTTAAATCCAACATACTCCATCTCAGTTTAAGAAGGCAACAGCCACTCTCCAAAGAGCTACTCAGCGCAAATAAGCAGTTCTCTTTGAGGCATCAGAATTCACCTATTCTGAATTCCTCGTCTCTTAGTCCCTCAGCTCCTCAAATGGACTCTCTAGGATGTCCAGGAAGCACCATGGTCGGAGCTCATCAAACCACTTCTGATTATTTTGAATCTGTAAAAGTTCTGCAAAGAGAAAAAAAACTCAAATGCACTCTCATCCTGCCCCATCCTGTTCATTTGTATCTTGAATCCCCAAGCAGATCAGCTCTTTAGATAAAGCCTCCCCATTATTACAAATAAAGAAAGTGGACCTTTATCCAATTAGCTGCGTGTATCAAAATTTCATTTCTTTTTATTTATCTATTACACACTAGGTATGGAACCCCAGGCCTTACTTGTGCCAGGGGAGTGCTCTACCACTGAGCTACAATCCTACTCTTTTTAATTTTGTTTATTTTATATTTATTTATTAGTTGTTTTGTTCTGTTTTAGTTGTAAATGGGAATAATGCCTTAATTTTGTTTATTTTTATGTGGTGCTGAGGATAAATTCAGTGCCTCATGCATGCTAGGCAAGCCCTCTGCCACTGAGCTACAGCCCCAGCCCTATAAACTAGTTTTTGATACCGACCATTGAACCCAGGGGTGCTTAACCACTGAGGCACATCCCCAGCTGTTTTTTATATTTTGTTTAGAGAAGGGTCTCCATGAGTTGTTAGGTCCTTGCTAATTTGCTGAAGCTGGTTTTGCACTTGTATTCCTCTTGCCTCAGCCTCCTGAGCCTCTGGGATTACCGGTATGTGCCATTGCACCTAGCAACTCTTATTTTATTTATTTTTTTGCACCAGGGATTGAGCTCAGGGGCACTCGACCACTGTGCCACATTCCCAGCCCTATTTTGTGTTTTATTTAGAGACAGGGTCTCACTGAATTGTTTAGCCCCTTTGCTGAGGCTGGCTTTGAATTTGTAATCCTCCTGTCTCCACCTTTCAGCCGCTGGGATTACAGGTAAATGCCACTGTGGCTGCCCAGCTAATTTTGACCTGTTTTAAAAACTAAAATATTTATAGCTTTAGGTCTTATAGTTAAATCTGTGGTTTATTTTGACTTTATTGTTTGTGTAAGGTTTGAGAATTAGGTCGAATTTCATTCTTTTGCCTAGTGATGTCCATTTGTTCCCATACCATTTGTTGAAAAAGGTATGCTTCCTCCATTGAATTGGTTTTGCACTTTTTTCAAAACTCAGTTGGGCATATTTTTGTGGGTTATTTCTGGGCTCTCTGTTCCATTTATCTGTCCATTCCTCCACCAACACCATATAGTCTTGATTAGTGTAGCTATGTAATAAATCTAAAAAGCAGGTAAACTATTTCCTCCAATGTTCTTCTTTTCTTTTAAAATGTTTTAGTGACTCTAGTTTCTTTGTCTTTCTGTATAAATGTTACAATATTATATATGTGTAAAATCTGGCAGGACTTTCATAAGAATTATATTAAAGCTGTACATCAATTTGAGGAAAAAATGACATCTTTACTATGTTTACTATGTCCAATCCATGAACATCTATGCATTTATCACCATTTATTCAAATATTCCTAGATTTCTTTTGTTACCCACTTTATAGTTTTCATCATATAAATTCTGTGTGTATTTTATTAGATTTACTTATGAATTCTTTGTTTTTTGAGTGATTGTGAATGGTATTGTTTTTAATTTCATTGTCCACATATTAATTGCTAATAAGTAGAACTATAGTGGACTATTTTTTTTTTTTGGCACCAAGGATTGAACCCAGGGCTGCTTAACCACTGAGTCACGTCCCCAGTCCTTTTTATTTTATATTTTGAGACAATGATTCACTAAATTGCTTACGGCCTTGCTAAGTTGCTTATGGCCTCACTAAGTTTCTGAGGCTGGCCTCAAACTTGCTAGCCTTCTGCCTCAACCTCCTGAGTTGCTGAGATAATGCCCCACCATACCCAGCTTTATAGTGGATTTTGAATATTTGTGTTCTATGACTTTGCTTAAGTCACCTTTTTCCTAGAGGTGCTTTTGGTAGATTCCTTGGAACTTTCTACATAGACAATCCTATTAACTGTGAATAGGGTCATTTAATTTCATCCTTTCAAATCTGCATGCTTTTTATTCCCTTTCTTGCCTTATTTGACTAGTTGGAACTTGTAGCACTATTGTTGGAGAAGAGAGGTGAGGACAGACATCTTTAATTTGTTCCTGATCTTAGGGGGAAAATATTTCATGTTTCACTGTTAATTAAGCTATCAGCTGTGGAGTTTTTGTAGACACTCTTTAACAATTTGAGGACATTCCCTTCTATTTTTATTTTTTCTGAGATTTTTTGGCATGAATGGGTATTGAATTTTGTCCAAAAAATTGGCACTAATGATAAGTGTATGCTATTTTTCTTTAGCCTGTTACTATATAAATTCTTTGATTGTCAAGTATTAACGAGTCTTGCACTCCTGTATTATACCTCTGTTTGGTTATAGTTTATAATTCATTTTATGTGTTGTTAAATTGTTTTGCTAATATATTTTTAAGGATTTTGAGGGATATTGGTCTGTAGTTTTCTTTTTTGGTAGTATTTTGTTTAGTTGGGTATCAGAATTAGTAGCTTCATAAAATGAATTTGGAAGTGTTCCCTTTTCTATTATCTGAGAAGAGATTGCGTAAAATCTGTATTAATTCTTTAAATATTTGGTAGGATTATCCACCAAATCAATCTGGACTAAAAAAATTAGTTTTTGGAGGGAGTTTTTAAATTGTAAAATAATTTTCTTTAGTCAGGCTAATCAATTATGTAAAAAATATGTATTTCATACTGACTAGATTTTATAAATTTATGTTTTCTGAGGAATTACTTCATTTCTTGTATTTAGTTGAGAAAAGCTGGCCTCAAACTTGTAATACTCCTGCCTCATCCTCTCAAGTAGCTGGGATTACAGGTGTGCACTCTTGTACCTAGCTGATGTTGATAATGTGTTACCTTTTCTCTCTCATTCCTTGTGATTTGTCAGTCTTGCAAGAGACTTTTCCAATTTCTTTGATCTTTTCAAAGAACATGATTGTGTTAGTAAACTTTTCATCTCTTTGACCAAAATACCTGACCTGAACTACAGAGAAGAGGAAAGATTTATTTTGGGTCACAGTTTCAGAGATTTCAGTCTGTGGTTGGCTGGGTCCAAGATAGAAATATGGTGGAAAGATAGGACACAGGAAAACTGCTCTGCTCATGGCAGCCAGGAAGCCAATTGTTGGGGGATAAGGAGAAGATAACCCTTCCAGGATATGCCCCTAGTTACCTACTTCTTTAAACCAGGTCCTACCTCTCATTATTTCATTGAGATATCAAGTGAATTAATCCACTGATGAGGTCAAACCTTCATGATCCAATCATTACCTAAAAGTCCCACCTGTGGAAATTGCTGCATTAGAGATCATGTTTTCAAAACATGAGTTTTGGGGGGGTCATTTCAGATCCAAACCATAACAAAGCTTGTTGTTTCATCCATTACCCCTATCACTTTTCTGTTTTAATTTATTATTTCTTCCTGCTTGCTTTGGGTTTACTTTGTACATCTTTTTATTTTTATTTTATTTCCTTTTTCTTATTCTTGAGATTAGAGCTTGAATCATTGATTTAAGACTTTCTCTGTTTTTCTAACATACGCATTTAGTGCAGTAAATTTTGTTCTCAGTACTACTTTAATTGTATCTGACAAGTTTTGATGAGCTGTATTTTCATTGACATTTAGTTTAATGCACATATTGGTTTTCCTTGGAACTCTTTTGTCTATGGATTATTTAGAAGTGAGTTATTAGCTTCCAAGTGTGTGAAGGTTTTTCTTGTTTTCTTTCTGTTATTGATTTCTACTCTGATTTCTTTGTGGTTAGAGAACCCAATTCTATATGATCCCAATTCATTTAAATTTGCAGAGGTTTATTCATGGTCCAGAAGGTGGTTTATCTTGATATATATTCCATGGGTGCTTGAAGAGAAAGTACACTATATTATTGTTTGGTGGAATGTTCCACAGATGTTATTTAGATTGTATTGGTTGATGGTGTTGTTGAATTCTACATATTTCTGATTTTCTACCTAATTATTATATTTATTATTGAGGCAGGAGTGTTGAAACCTCCAACTAAAATTGTGGCTTTTTTTCTATTTCTCTTTTCAGTTCTTTTAGGTTTTGCTTCAAGAATTTCCCATCTTGGTTGCAAATCCTACACATTTTAGGAATACTATGTTAGTCTGATGTATCCACCCTTTTATCATTAAATGAAGTCCCGTGACTACAATATTTTTGCTGTAAATCTACTTTACTGATATTAATAAATCTTTTTCTCTATTAAAATTTTACTTAACTTCATATTATTGTTATTTTGTCGTACTGGGGATTGAATCCAGGGTCTTGTGCATACTAGGCAAGCTCTCTACATCCCCTTCTATTTGTATTTTT